GCCCCTCTGTATTTTAGTTCAGGTTTGAGTGTCTGGATAGCAAGGTTGATGCTGGATTTAAGAAGGTGATCCATTAGAGTGCAGTATAAAAATGATTAGTTTAAAATAAAAAGTTGTCTTTTCTCTCTTGTCTTGTGCATATTAGTTTGATGCACAATGTGTATCAACCTGCCCTGTTGATTGAAGTCTAGAAGAAATGCCTGATGGAACAGGCAAGTGCAAGAATTTCTTTCATAACATCTGCCTACGTGAGGGTCCTGGAATGCAAATCTGCCCTGTGCCTGGTTTACCTCACTTCTCTAACTTTCTGGCACTTGGCTCTTTACTGAGAGATAAGAACACATTTGCAGCACTGGTTTTTGCAATCACTGATCCTGTTTACTTTCTTTCCTGACCTTTAAAGGGATGCACCAAATAAATTCCTTTGTACAGCTGCCAGCCGTTCTAAAGTATGGCTTTTTCAAAGGGCCAAATACCATCTTTTCATAATCACCATGTCAAACTCCTGTAACTTACCACTTGCTTACAAACAGCTGAGTTGCACACTATGGAAGTGGTGGCTGATATTGTGCAAGACCATTAATCTAAAGCACTGCAAAAATGTAGAGCTGGCAGCCGTACTTGATTAGCAAATTGATTACATGGAATACAAAATGCCAGAGTTTTCCTGTTATTTTGGCTTCATGAAGAATTTGCAAGAATTTACAAAACTATTCAGTATTAAATGATATTCCCAGAATATTACAAATAAAGCAAAGGCCAGCCTGTGAATTAGTTGAGTCTGGGATTTGAGGCCTCTAAAGTGGTAACCTAAGTATTCTAGGGCAAGGGTGCTCAACCCCTGGCCCACAAGCCAGATCCAATGGCCAACACCATGTCATCTGGTCTGTGGGACTCCCCACAGGTCTGTGGGGAGCCCCAGAGGTCATGGCCCTGAAGGCTAGATTGGGCATGTGGGGATCAGGGCCCACAGTCCAATCCCAATGAACAGGACTGAGGCAAGGCAGCACGGGGCCTCAGAGCCCAATGCTAGCACGGGGGCAATGTGGGGGCCTGGGACTTAATCCTCACATGTAGGGTCCAGTCCAACCTGTGGACCAGCGCCGTGCCACTCATTTGGCCCATGGACCAAAATGTTGAGTACCATTGATCTAGGGTACAGAAAAGGTACATGTGATACTGAATGCATCTATCTTTGTTGACCTGCACTCAACCAGGTATTGCAGGCAAGTTTCTAAGATTTATGTAATCCCAGATCTCAAAGGACTCAAATACACTTAAACTGATAAGGATCCTGAGTGAAATGTTTGTGACATTGTTCTAGTGAATACTGAAACCAGGTGTAATGAAATCATGAATTAGGTATCATGCAATAAAATCACAGAGGAAAATGAACAATAAGCCAATTCCTGACCTTTCCTGCGGAGATTCTGCTGTTGAGAGTGCAGGCACAAGGAACAGGTTGTATATGATCATGGTAGAACCTCTGGGATTTCTCGTTCCCCTGCTTTGCAACCTGAATTGTCCAGATGAGTTTTCTCTACTTTAGTTGACCCTTTCCAGCACGCTGCAGAAATATTTAACCAAGTGTTGAAGGGACAGCCATTAAATGAACCTTACAGATTAGGTTACTTATATATAACCAATATAAATTTATTATAGAAATCGCAATATATACACATACCCACACATAGGTCACATTCACAGAGTGCTCTGGTGATGACTCCAAGATTTTAGAGCTTTCTGCTCTCTATGTCCACAACAGATGCTTACAATGTGCTAGCATAATAGTTTAACATACAGATGGAATTATTTGATACGGAGGCCAGACTCTTGATCTCAATAGGTTTTGAAAGTTCACAATCTAAAAAGCAAAGTAACAGAGGCAGGTGAGATTTATTATGCAAGCAATGATCACACTGACAACTGCCACGTGCATTGTTTTATGATCATAGGATCATGAGAAAAGAGGGATGGAAGGAACCTTATCTAGGGAGGGATGGGAGGATATCATCTACTTCAGCCTCCTGCCCAAAGCATGATCTTCCCTAACTAAGCCATCCCAGTCAAGTATCCATCTAACCTGCTTTTAACAAAATCCAGGATGGAGATTCCACAACTGCTCTAGGTAGCCTGCAATGTTCCCTCTAAGGCATAGCGGTCTGTGAGCATGCAGCCTCGGTCTGTGAGCATGCCGCCTTGGTCCATGAGCGCGCTGCCTTGGTCCAGCATGAGACACTTATCGAAGGGGGCTAGAGGCTGGGGCCTGGAGGCTGGGGGCTGGGAGCCAGAGGCTGTAGCCGAGAGGCTGAGGGCTGGGGGCTGGAGCTGAGAGGCTGGCGGCCAGGGGCCAGAGGCTGGGGCCGGGGGCTGGAGCTGGGGGCTGGGGCCAGGGGCCGGAGCCTGGAGCTGGGGGCTGGGGCTGGGAACTGGAGCAGAGAGACTAGGGCTGGAGCTAGGGGCTGGCAAGGGCTCCGCCGGCTCCGGGGAAGTGCTCCGCTCCCCCCTCCAGCTCCCGACCCCAGCTCCCAGCTCCAGCCTCCGGCCCCTGGCCCCAGCCTCCAGCCCCCAGCCTCTTGGCTCCAGCCCCCAGCTCCAGCCTCCTGACCCCAGCCCCACTCCCTGCCTTGCCACACCTCGGGGAGGAGCCACTGCCTGCTCTGAGTGAGGCTCCACCAGCTCCGGGACACTGTGGGACACACTCCCCGAGGCCATGCAGGGGAGCGGAACAGCGTCCCAGAGCTGGCGCAGCCTCACTGGGGCAGGCAGCGGCTCCTCCCCCAGGTGAAGCAAGGCAGGGATGGAGGCTGGAGCTGAGGGCTGGTGCGGGCTCCGCCGCCTCCGGGGAAGTGCTCCACTCATTGGCCCTGATACGGGGGAGTGGAGCACTTCCCCAGAGTTGGCAGAGCCTCCGCCAGGCTCCCACCCCCACCTCTCTTGCTGTGCGGCCTTGAAAAGGCTGTGCACAGCCACACTTTTAGTTGTGCACGGCCGCGCACGCGCGCACCTTAGAGGGAACCTTGGTAGCCTGTTCCAATGCTTGACCACCCTCATAATCAGAAAGGTCAACCTAATCTCAAGCCTAAATTTCCTCTGCTGCATTTTGAGATCGTTTCTCCTAGTGCTGTATATGACTAGTCTTCCATAGCCACAAAGGAAAGTCTGTTTCTATCCTCTTTATAATCATTCTTCAGGTAGTTGAAAACTGTTATCAAATCCCCCCTCAGTTTTCTCTTCTCCAGACTAAACATCCCTGTTTTTTTTCAGCCTTTTCTTATAAGTAGGGACCTATCTAAATTGTGGTTTCACAGATTGTGCGGAAACTGCAAAATCTGGGGTAGCCCATGAAATGCAGGTTTGCCCACAAAATCTGTGGGGGAAAAAAACATAATAAAAATAAGTTTTTATTAAGTCTTCCCCTTGCAGATAGGCCTCACAGCCTGCTCAGGAGGAGAAGGTGCCAGCTGGTAGAACCGCACAAAGCGGGTAGCAGATAAGATGGCTGCTGCCCCTCCTTCCTCCTCGCCCTGCAGGGCCTCTCCACCAATCAGCACTGACGGGTAGAGCTGGACAAAGGAGAGTCAACAGTCAAGATGGCAGCCACCCCCTCATCCCTCTTCCGCCCCAGAGCCTCTCTGCCAATCAGTGTTGAGGGGCAGGGCCTCACCGCCAATCAGCACCAAGGGGCAGGGCCACTGCAAAATGCTGGCAAAATGGGCTCATCTTGCCAGGACAAAACCACGAAAATGGCTTTGTCTTGCCATGGGTTAAGTAGGTGCCTACTCAGACAGCTTGATCCTGATTTGTTTGCCTTCCTTTTAAGGATTTCAAGTTCATGTGCCATCTTAATCTGATCTTAAAAATCTGATTTTAAAAATTACAAAGCGATGATGATATAGATCAGGGGTGTCAAACTCCCTGCAAGCCAAATGAGTGGCATGGGGCTGGTTCACAGCCTTGGACCCAATCTGAGCGAGTGCACAGGCAGTGCATATCCTGGGCACTGTGCCTGGGGCCAGTCGCGCACAGTGTGTGGGTCAATGGGGCAGTGCCAGGGGCTGGATTGTAAGATCCCACAAATCTGGCCCATGGGCCATATGTTTGACACCCCTGATTTAGATTAATAACAAAGTGCATGAGGAACTGTCATTTTAATTTTTGGATATTGGAAGCTGCAAATCGGTACATCACTGGGATTTGGGGGCACAGTTCAATACCTGTACAAACATTTCCTGCCCTAAAAGGTTTATACTACATTTTGAGGCCTGAGTGGGTACAAATAGTACAAGGAGAGAGGTTCCTCTCCATGGTCAGCGAAATAAGTGGAGTTCTACTGAGCTGAGGTTCTGACTTGTGGTGATGAATATAGATATCTTGCAAAGTCAGTCTCCCAAGTTGCCACATTAGATTTTTGGTTGCCCATACAGCCTTACTTTGTCTTTTTTGTGTGTGTATAATCATACAGTCTTCAGCTACATGACAGCTCTTTTTTGGTGCTGCACTGCATTGTTTTATTTATTGGAAGTCCAGTCTTACTTGGTGTCTAGCTTTTACTTTGTGTTTGTAGCAGAATAATAAATCATCTTAATTTTAATAGGACATATTTATACATATCCTTTTTTGTGGTCATGGTGGCAATGGTATTTAAAGCTACTCCTCTTAAAAGCTTCTCAATGACTTTGGAGCCAACTTTCTTGAGCCTGTACGCCATAAGATTGTGAATAATTGCTTCTCTTCTGCTAGTTTCAGTAGCTCAGAATAAATCAGAACCACACAGGAGGAAGTCATAAAGTGGACGCATACAACTATAGACCCAAGTTCATTTATAATTTAGACTTTACTCTCTGGTTCTGTATTTATTTTCCACTGACAAGACAAAGTATTCTGTTGAGGCATATTGACCCTTCCATGAATAATCCAGGCAGCTGTAGTATCTGCTGATCCCAGGAGTCACTTCATTAGTGCTTGTTGTCTTGTATTTGAATTACGACATGCATTTGGGTGTTTAAATTACAGGAAGACCTTGCTTTCTAGAGTTTCCGCATCATGCTGGGTGGCTGGGGAGGGTAGGAAAAAGAAGGATTTGACATATAATAAGGAAGAATGTGTTCCTTTCAACTGTTGGACTTTCTAGAAAGGGAGGAACTTCAATAGGAAGAGCTAGGGAAGTTATACAAGAATTGTTAAGTGTTGCTAAAAATAATTTTTGCTTTTCCTTGTAATTCTAAAATAGGAACTCCAGAGTATGTATGCATGGATGTGTGCATGTGTTACACATGGAGACATACATGTAGATATGGAGCTATGTGCAAACACACACTATATATTATAATTATGTATGTGTGTGTGTGTGTGTGTGTGTGTGTGTGTGTGTGTGTGTAGTATCTTCTCACTTGGAATGTTCAGACACTTGGGGCTCAATCCTGCCTGGTGCTGGGTACTCATTCCCTGATCTAGTAATGTACTTACTCCAGATACTTAAAGTTAAGCATGCATTTACTGTATAGTTTAGATTAAAGGTTAACCTTTTTTTTCCTTCAAAAGAGCCATAAAAAATCATGGTCAACTTGTATGCAGAGTTGACTTATAATTTAGAATAATACAGCAATTTGCCTTCCTGAACTGATGCAGTGTTAACCACCTTGCAGAATTCAATCCCTGACCTGCAAGATGAGAAAAGCCATCAGATATCCAGGGTAACTTGTCTTGCAAAGCTGGGAAAGAGGAAGGGATTGCTTGCAAGAATTATTGAGTTTCAGGTTCAGACTCAAAATAAATCCTGCAAGAGAGACTGTGATTTGCAAGATAATTTACAGGTAATATGCTGTAATACCTGAATATCATTCTCCAGCTTAGTGTTAATTTGTTAAAATGCACAATAAGAGCCAGATGAGAAGAAAAGGTAGACACTGAGGGCTAGATGTAGATCCACAGAATCTGCCATCAGGACACAGGGTAGTGTATAACTGTGTAGTGGAGCAACAGAGGGCTGCTATAAACTACAAAGACTTTCCTGATATAACTGTACCAGCAAACTAGGGGGGTAGTAGAAATGCAGCTTACAGTAGCAGATCTTCTTTTGCTTGTATAGTTATATCATCTCCCTAAGTTTTGATAGCAAAAAGATTTCTTTGCTGAGAGAAGCTGTGTGTGGAATGGGGTTTGCACAGGCAGGTATGCCCATTACCGGGGGAGGGAATTATTTTTTTCTACACTGTAAGCAGGTTGGTGTACCTGCTCCCATGGGGGGTGGTCCTCGATCCCTCAGTCGAACTGCTCCTTGATACAGGAGCCTCCACCTCTGGCTCCTTCTGGGACACTTGCCCGCTAGTAACCCTGAGCACCTTTACATGCTCCTGGGGGCTTTGCCTTCTGCTCAGGGTTGGAGGTTCGGACTGCCTTGTGTGGTACCTGGGCTCAATCCGCTCCTGGACCCTCTGTGCAGCATTGTGTGCACCGAACCACTGGCCCTATGCCGGTGTCCACAAGCCAGAGCTGCCTCAATTTACTCCCAGAGCCTCTGATTTGCCGTACACCATCCATGCACTGAGAAAGTCTGGCTGCTTACCAGGGAATGAGGGACCCGAGCTGCCCAGTGCAGCTCCCAGGGTCCCGGTCCACACCGTGTACTGATTGTGCATCAGGGGCCTAGCCTCAAGCCAGATGTTGGGATCCAAGCCGCCTTGAACAGCTCCCAGGGTCCGGGCTCCATGCACTGAGCAGTGCACCATGCTCCCGGCTTCCTGCTGGGGGCTGCAGACCTGAGCTGCCTGGAGCTACTCCCAGAGTCTGGGCCCCAGGTGCCGCGCTGTCCACCAGCTGGAGCTGGAGCATTGGACTGGCGTGGGGAGCCTTCGGGCTCTTCTGGGCACTGGCTCCGCCCACTGGGCAGCTTTTCCCAGCTCTTCTTCTGCCCCTGCTCTCTTCTCTGTCCCCCAACATGTCTGCCACGTGCTGGGCATGCTGCTCCTTTTATTCTCTCCTGTCAGACCTATAAAGTGCAGGCTTTAAATAGGTCCCAGACCCTTCACCTCCACCCCTGCAGGGGTGGGATCAGCCCCTCCCAGCAATTACCTGATTGACGGACATGCTCCTCCTATCACAGCTAAGCTCCTCTGAGCCTGGGCATGCCGGGCTGTATCGGTAAGTCCGGCACGCTTATAACACTAAGAATGGTCCTTGTCCAATAAACAAGAGAGCAAAGCACACCCTTTGGCCTTTTTCCAGGCAGCAGGACAGAGCCCTCTAGCTCTGGCCCTTCCTAGGAGCGAGCTCCTCTGGGTTCAGTCTGCCTTCTGGCCACAAAATGCTTCTTGCCCAGCTGCTTTCTCTCTTCCCCTGCCCCCACCTCCTGCTTCAGCTTTTAACTGCCAGTTAATCATTCACCCCTGGGTTCCTACTCCAGGGCTGTCTGCTTCACTTTAAGGGCCATACAACCCTACTATATACATTTACAACAACTTGGCACTGCCAGTACAGTTTGGTTGTTCTGGCTTGGTCTCCACTTCCCCCCATGCTCTTGGTGGGTAAGGGGAGACGTTATAAAATCTGCAGTGTTGGTAATTTTCCCTCCAGCTGAGCAGCACTGGCAGGTGCATTGAGGGGCTGAAGCAAAGAGAAGTCTTCACCCATTCTTGTCTGTGCAGCCCATACCTTGCTCACAAGTGCAAGGACATCTGTAGTGCCTCCATGGCGTCTTCACTCTCTGCGTTGCTCTCACTTCCTCTTTCCTGTTAAGAGAAGCAGTTTTCACTTGTGGTAACTAATGGGCCTGAGGTAGAACCACAAGGAAGACAAGGTTCTGTAATTTCATCATGGGGCAAACTCACTGAGACAAACTTGATATTCACCCTCTTAGCTGTGAAGACATGGCCTGTGACCTTCAAAGTGAATAGCTTGCACAGGGGCTTAACGGTCACACAACATCCTCTTGTTCCCCTGTACAGATGCATGGAGCTAGTAACAGAGAAAGACAGAGAAAAAAGAAAAACTCTGATGAAGAAGCATCATTCTGTTCACCAACGGCTAAATCCAAAAGCCCTGGCTATTTTTATTCTGTCCTTACTTGGGAATCAATGCAAGTTTGCCTGAGTAACAACTCAATAAAATTGATGCTGACTTGCCTCAATTTAAGTAGGGCCCCAGTAAAATGTGGGTGTATATGTGTGAGGACTGGGAAAACAGTGTTAGATTAGGGGAGCAGAGTGTCAGCCATTCAGAATTCTTCACTTTCCTTCTGTTTGTAATGTGTTAACATTTTAAAAGTAGAGATGCTACTGTGTCTAAATATCCAGATGATCAGGTTGGTCAAGTAAACCTGTGTTTACCTGGATATAATTATGAAAAACAGATATATGTAAAGCTTTTTGTTTTTTCAGTGTGCTTTGCAATACCCTTAATACACAACACCCATGGGAGGAAAGTAAAAAGTATTGTTTAAGCATATTTTAAAAACAGATTTTTGTTCCTAAGATACTATTAAAGCCACTCATAAAAGCACTTCTTAGGGCCATATACACTCTTTAATGGGAGTTGCGTGAATAGGCTGACACCAATACAAGGCCCTAAATTTGAAGATTATAGACCGTAACAACTCAGAGGGAGTTTTTACCATCACTCTAGCTAATCACCACCAGGCAAACATATGTAAGGAATAGTGTCTTTCCCCCACCTATAGATAAATACTGGCAAGAACCAACAGGTCTGTTCTGATTTACTTTTATTTTACTTTTGATTTATAAAAATGCTCTGGATGTAGTGCACATTTCTTGGCTCAGTATTGTTTCAGCTACTCTCAGGCAAGGGTCAGCAACCTTTTAAGGTGTTGCGAGTCAAATTAGCTCAGCTTGCTCTGAAGTAGTGGACCACTACCCCCTTTGCCAACCCTGTGCTTACGAACTCGATTCCACTCCTCTTGCCAATGACATGCTCCCAACCCATCACTCCCCACACTACCAAAATGCTGCCAATATCCCCCTACTGCAGAAAAACCTCCTGGTTTTTCAGGCCAGATGACATCACTTAGTGGGCTGCATCTGGGTGCCAAGCCATACATATATGCTGACCCCTGCACTAAGGCAAATGCTTCAGGAACAGATTGACTGAGAGGCTGGCTAGTTTGACTCTGACTTCTGGAAGATTTGTGTATGAAACTTTATATCAATTATTTACTCAGCATTGGGAATGTTCTATATTTGCTTTTTTTTATTTGCTTTCCATTTGGACAAGGAAAATGAGCGGCCAGTTTCATTCTGGTTTCTAGTCATTCCCATTTTCATTCCATCAGATACTAGCACAGCACTGCAGTATTTGAGTTAGAACTGCTCCAGAGGAAAGAAGCCCTTTAATGGAAAGTTTAATCACATAATGAAAATATTTTTAGAAAAAGGCGTAATTCTCTGTCCTTTCCACAAAACCAGCATTTTGGACCTAACAACCTAGCAAATAGCTAGTCAGGGCACAATCATGACCAAACTAATCTGTTTCCCCTTTTATTTCCCTGTTTCTGTTTTTCATATAGCAACAGGGGAGAGTAAACTATTTCTAACCTAGAGAAATGCGAACTCCTAGAGAGAGAGGTGCAGTGCCTGAAACCACTTAGAACTATTTTTTTTTCTTTTTAACGTGACCATATTTCAAGATATATGTGGTTGCTTTAAATATATACTTCATTTAAGCATTCCCAGGAACAGAGTTTGTCTTACTGGTTGGCTGCATTGTGTTGCATTGCTGTACTGGGTTCTCAGAGAATCCGAATGGTTTTTGCAGAGTTGTGTGGAAGTTAATTTGGGGGCTAAAGCTCTGGAACTCAGACTCTGTACAGATATATGAATCTCCTGGATATCCTTGAAATCAACTGACTAGTTTGCAAACTGACAAGGACAATCAGCTGTCACGTTAGAGCTTTTCTAGCTTGAGTTAAATAACTGGAATGATAGACCCATAAGACTATTGAGGGAGCAAGTAGAAGATGAGAGAAAATCTGGCCTCCAACTCTGTAAAGAGATTGAGGGCCATCACAGAAGGTTCTTCAGATCAGTCTTTAAAAGCAGTTGTAACAAATGAAATGCTTCCCCTAATTTTTCTGATTTTAAATAGCGTGATTTTAAATAGTATTCTACCTCACAAAAGAACGATGCACCTCTATTTCACTGGAGAATTTACATCTTTGAACATGTGCTGCATAATCATCATTTTCAAAAGTACTGATCATAATCAGAGGTAAAGTACTCACAGAAGCTAGTGCATGCAACAGTTATAGATGCAGATACATCAACTGAACATATATATTATATACAGTATATGGTATATGTATATATACCATACTTTTCAGTTCTAAGGTAGATATTACATAATACACATCTAGATATATAGATGTGTGAAATATATAAAATTAAATGTATTCGGATGCAAAGTTACACATCCTGAGTTATCTTTTCAGTGATATTGGCCAGATAATTCATAGTTGGCGGCTGTGTGTGTATGTGTGTGTGTGTTATATGAATATCCACTCTAGATCTGTGAAAGGCAAAGTAGTTTTTACTTTTCTGAAACCAGTTTGAAAGACAAGGTCAATGTGATTGCAATCCAAACTCTGGATTGCTGATACAAATGTGAAGTCAATTGTATTATTATACAGGGCATAAACACAGGCCGATTTAATAAAAAAAAAAAAAGGCTGAGACTTCAAGTCTTTATAAACAAATGTGTACATAAGATTTTAGATGTTGGGTGCCCTGAACAGATAACACACAGATTAACACAAAAGAACACAGCACAAAATCATCAAGGCTACCATTATAGAAAGGAAATGGAACTGGATCAGCCACATTCTAAGGAAACTTAATCCTAATGTGATTAAACAAGTCCTAGAATGAAACCCTTAGGGAACAGAGAAGGGAGGATGACCAAGAAAATCCTGGAGAAAAGGAATATATACCATGAGATAACAGAGATTGTTCTGACCTGGAGTGAAATCAAGCAGAGAACCAAGACAGAGATGGGTGAAGGATGCTTGTGGAGGCCCTATGTTTCTCTCAGATTGAAGAAGATTAGCCTAACTTGTAATTCCATTGACATTAACATGCCATCAGTGGAGTTATGCCAAGGGTAAATTGGACTTCTTGTCTCTGACAACCATGGACCTTCTAACTATCATTAGATCATGATGCTGTTAAGAAAGGTTTAGAGCTCATGGAAATATTATCTATCTTTACACAGATTTTATTTTGCAGTCTGAAGGGATCCTACTATCATTGCCAAACTGCCTAGCCTGATGAGGCTACTGCCTGTATTTTGAGTCTCTAGTTATATTTCTTGTTTAATCTCAGCCTGGTGAATAGCCAGGTGTATTGAGCAGTGTAGGCCCCATCTCTCCACACTATTTTCCAAACTTCTCTGCCAAGATAACACTTTCACAGTTGTCTCTGGGACATTAGCAACATTAACTCACTCCTGCTAAATAACTTGAGCATTCTAATGCAATGAAGGCCCTGAATCCTACTGATTAGTAGGTCTGTGTGTGTGTTTGTAGGATCCACATCCAGCATGGTCCTGCCCTGGACAACGGGGCACATCCCATTACTGTTACAGCCTTTGGGCCTTTTAGAACTAGATTTGCTGAGCATGTGCCTTGTAACAAGCATGTGACCTGCAGGAAGATGGACAGAAGATTTCTCATCTCTTGGGCAAGAGTAGCAGACAGCAGAGGCCTGGACCTATGGAAGTTCAAGTGAGTCTCTTCAGAGTAGCTAGCAAGGGCTACTAATAGGGAAAGCCTGAAATGTAAGCCTATCCCGAGATGAGGGACATGGAACTAAATTGTAGCATTTGAGTTTTGTTTGGACTTCCCCAGCTGGTGAATCTGCCTTTGATCTAAATGGACCACGTGAATGTTATGGTGACCTATCTCCTCCTGGAAAGCCCTTGGCAGCAGCCTAAAAGGAAGAAATTTCTGTGGCAATGTCTCAATTTTTCTGTGGGACTGAAGTTTTTCTACACAGTGGGTGTGTCTACATGTACATTTATGCCTTCTTAAATTTACTGCGCAGTAAGTTACTGCGCAAAAAGTGGGAATAGGCCAGCATCTACATGTGCCAGCATTAAAGTGCATTAACACTGTCTGGACTGACATGGGACTAAAGTTAGGCCCAAGTCAGTCCACACACACAATGTTACTGTGCAGTAAGGTGTCTACATATGTGTTACTGCACAGTAACTAATCAGGCATAAGTTTGATACCTGCATGATGCACATGTAGATGCGACCATTAAATAGTTTGTAGGCCCATCCACAAACCTTTTTCATCTGCATTTTTAGTTTGATTTGTTTAGAAACCTGGGCGTAGCTGCCAAGGGGCCTGGTATCTAAATGAAAAGGGACACACCTTTCAGTTTATCCTAACACATGCACATATACAGGATTCTTCAAATTACACAGAAGTTTACTCAGGCAAGGTTCATTGAGTAGATGTAATATCTTTTATTAGACCAACTGAGTGCTTGGAAAAAAGTTCTTGGCAAATTTTCGGACGCTAAGAACTTTTTTCTAAGAACTTTTTTTTTCTAAGATCTTTTTTCTAGCTACTCAGTTGGTCTAATAAAAAGATATCACATCTACTCAAACAACCTTGCCTGCCTATGTGCTTAGACCAACACAGCTACAACCAAAAAGAACAGAAGTTTAGTGAAATGTAGTTCAGGAGTTCTTTTTTTATTTATGTCTAGTGCTTGCTTCTGTATTTAATAAATTTTCAAGGAACGTTGGTACCACAGTTTTTTGGTTAGTAAAGTTAGTACTATATTTTTTAGAGAAGTATCAATAGCAGCACTAGATACATTCCACGTAAATCCTCAGCAAGAACAATGTATTTTATATCCATATTAATTCTTAATTGGCACACTTTTCCAGGAATGACTGTATGTGTGAGAAATGTTTCGGACGGCGCTTTGAAAATGT